AGAGGGGGAGAGGTGTCTCAACTGCCGGCTGCGGTAGCTTCAAGTGTCCTGTCTTCAAATGGTGTCCGTATCACAGTCAAACGGCCCGATGCCTCTAGTGATCTGTCTCGTTGTGAGCGCAGGGTGCGCAGTGCGCAGTGGGAGTTCAGGGCGTTTGAAATCTCCCACCGGGAGGGTGAACGGACTTGACATGGTGGGGCCTTGTAAACAGACACCAGACATCATAATGTTGCCGGTCGGCTGCACACGAATGTCTAAGTAAAGAAGAAGACTCGTAGTGCAAGAGTTAATCATCAGAGATAGTGACAACAACAGAACGAGCGGCAATTATAGAGGGTCCCAGCCGATCATTGGCCGATGGTGCAGAACTGGCGGTAGTAGTATAGTATATTTAGGATAATAGCAATGCCATTGATGACCCTAGTGACAACGGAACACATAATATTCATGCTAAACACACATGTTACTAAAATGTTGCAAGCAGCACATTCGTTTACAGAAAACGTCCCCACATAGTGGAACTACGAATTTCACGGCAGACGGTCCTATCCATGTATATTTGAGATTATAAGTGTAATTATATACAATCAGCACAAAATGTTGTCATTTGAATAGTTTCTGGAAAACATTTCATCAAACGTGCAGGGAATGCGATACACAGGGAGTGAAATCAGGGAATAAAGTTCACGGAGGGCCGTAGATATTCCTGCAGTGAAAGTCGTCGTTTGTCAAAGATCAAACGATCTGACTACCTTTTGAATACAATCATTGTATCAGATGTCTCTGTTTCACTCGGGAGCGAGTTCCGTGGTCAAACAACACGCTGGCGGAAGGAAAACTTCCGATGGTCTAGGCGTGTACGCTCCCGCTTGACTTTATACGGATGACCGTACAGGTGAGTAATGGTTGTGAAGTCAGAGAAATCTTCAGATTTTAGCGAACAGTCATGCCCACGGATAATGCGGAATATCCACGATAGGTCACATCTCATTTGTCTATAGGATAGGGGGCACAGATTAAGTTGGATCAGTCTTTCTGGGTATGACAGAGTCCTGAGACCGTCCACCAGTTTTGTGGCCCGTCGTTGCGCCTGCTCGATGGCATCACTGTCCTTCTTCATCCAGGGCATCCATGCTGGCATTCCGTATTCCAAATGCGGTCTGGCCAACGTACCAAATATCTGCGCGAAGAGTTCGGGAGGGAAGACTATGAAGGCACGTTTAATCCAGGGCATGATGCTGGTTGCCTTTTGGACGGCTCTTTTGCAATGCTGGGAGGGCAACAAATTTAAACTTGCATGCCCATTTCTTTTAGTGGAACCGCATTTATGGGGTATTGGTGTTTTATGAAACGACTCCGACCTGAGTCCAAGCGCAAGAATACATACGCTAGAAGCCAGTTGCTGGACCATGCAGCCAACTTATCGACATCTTCTTGTAGTTTCTGCTCATCGTCAACACAGATGATTTTTTTCCAGATCATCTGCAAACATGATGGACTCGCATTCAAGATCTGCACTGCAGTCATTTATAAAGATGAGGAAGAGGATAGGACCCAAGACTGAACCCTGTGGAACGCCGTTTTCTACTGGCAACCATTCGGATGTTGTAGCATCAACAACCATTCTTTGGAGCCTGCGTGACAGGAAACTTTTAATCCACTTAGAATGTTGCCCAGCATTCCAAACTGCCGAATCTTCTGTGGGAGTCGTCCATGAGGCATGTCATCACACGCTTTTTGAATTTGAAGAATGTGGCATCCACTGGACGGCCCTGGTCTGCGGCCTTTGTCCATTTTTCCTGAGAGTAAACACTACTCATAAGACATGAGTGATCACGACGAAAGCCGTGCTGAGCAGCACACACTAGGTTCCTCTGCCCCAGATACGTCATTAAATTTCCCTTAATAAGCCGTTCCACGGCCTTGCACAAAATGCAGGTTAGACTAGTAGGACGGTAGTCTTCAGACTCCAGCCTGGACCCTCCTTCATAGATTGGAGAAATATGGGCCGTTTTCCATTCCTCCGGCAGTTCACTTTCTTCCATGTACTTCCGAAATATCATGCACACCGACTCACACAATACGTCAGCTTATTGTAGAGTAGAAGTGGTATGCATTCCGAGACGATATAATGAAAAAGGAAGGGGTTCTTCGGAAAAAATCGAGTTGTACTCGTGAATTTTCGAACTGGTGACACCAACCCGTCGTCAGACGAAATGAAGAGAAAAGAGAGAATGAGACAGTCACACTGGACTAATAGACGAGACAGGACAAACATTGACGGACGAACCATTCGCGTGTGAGGAGGGATGCGGGTAGGGAGTCAGCGGCCGGGCGTATTTATTGGAGATAGTTAAAGATAAGAAGTCCACTTTCGCTATTGTTGTGGGATACTGCTCAGGGACCGCGGTTAGGTTGTAGCTGACATAGACAGCGACCCCTCATCCTCGGCTTTTCATGTCTCTTCTAAGCAGCTGATAACCTCTGAGGGATATCGCACGATCTCCAATATCCTCAGTAAGCCATGTTTCTGTCAAGGCGATGATATCTGGCGTGTGTTCGTCGACCAGAGTCCTGAGTTCATCCATCTTGTTAAATAGGCTCTGCACATTCGAGTAGATCACCTTTAGTGTCCGTCCTCTCGGAGGGAACCAGGGTTCCTCATCCCCCGAGGCCTCTTTGTCATGCGATGCATCCTTCGGCAGTGCGGCATTTGATTCTATTGTGTGTGGACTTTGAGCTCTTATACGTACACTGAGCTGTTGTGTTTTTTTTTCGGGATGTCCTAGGACGCTTCTACATTTTCTGAGATCCCTTTCTGTCGTCCTTTTCTCGCACAAAAGGTCAGTTCTCAGTTGTAATTAGTTTCTTAGATGAACTGTCTTCTTCCTGAGCGGCTGAGGCGACTGTTTGGAGCTATGTATGTCTGCACTAGATCTATAAATCGATTGACTGTGTCCC